AGGTCAAGAGATCGAGACCATCCTGGTCAACATGGTGAAACCCCGTCTCTACTAAAAATACAAAAAAAATTAGCTGGGCATGGTGGCGCATGCCTGTAATCCCAGCGACTCAGGAGGCTGAGGCAGGAGAATTGCCTGAACCCAGGAGGCGGAGGTTGCGGTGAGCCAAGATTGCGCCATTGCACTCCAGCCTGGGTAACAAGAGGGAAGCTCCGTCTAAAAAAAAAAATAAAAATAAAAATAAAAAGATTCACTGGTCTTAAATAGGGGATTGAGAAGGAGCAAAGAGTAGAAAGCTTCTTCAAAGAAATAATAACAGAAAACTTTCTAAACCTAGAGAAAGACATAATATTCAGGCACATAGTGGAAGACAGTGTGGCGATGCCTCAAGGATCTAGAAACAGAAATACCATTTGACCCAGCAATCCCATGACTGGGTACCTACCCAAAGGATTATAAGACATTCTATTATAAAGACACATGCACACGTATGTTTGCTGCAGCACTGCTTACAATAGCAAAGACTTGGAACCAAACCAAATGCCCATCAAAGATAGACTGGTTAAAGAAATTGTGGCACATATACACCATGGAATACTATGCAGCCATTAAAAAACGATGAGTTCATGTCCTTTACAGGGACAACGATGAAACTGGAAACCATCATTCTCAGCAGACTGACACAGGAACAGAAAAACAAACACCGCATGTTCTCACTCATAAGTGGGTGTTGAACAATGAGAACACATGGACACAGGGAGGGGAACATCACACACTGGGGCCTGTCAGGATGTGGGGGAGCTAGAGGAGGGATAGCAGTGGGTGCGGAGATTGGGGAGGGATAGCATTAGGAGAAATACCTAATGTAGGTGATGAGGAGTGGAGGTAGCAAACCAAAATGGCATGTGTATACCTGTGTAACAATCCTGCAAGATCTGCACATGTACCCCAGAACTTAAAGTAAAATAAAGAAACAAAGGAAGATACACCCTGGAACGTGGTTTGTTCCCAGTAATTTGAAACATTTAAAGAATGGTTAAATGATCACTTGACAGTTATACTACAAACAGGAATAAGACAGCCTTAGTTAAACATTATTACTTTGAGAAGATAAATTTTAATGCCAATTTCCAATCTTTAAAATCTTTGGTTTTATTTTGAAAAACAATCCTCAATCTTAAAAAGATCATGGCAAAGAAAAGAAAGGATTATAGTCCTTTTGCTTTTTCAAATAACAAACATGGAAATGAATTCTTATGAATGTCAATAGTCAATGTAGTGTGGCATATTAAGAATTTACTTTCATATAATGGCTAAGTTTAGAGAGATTACACTTCATGAGAAAATATGAATTTTAATGGATTTTCTGTTCTGTTTTTGGAAACGGCTATGTCTTTTAGTGTATTCTCCTCCCTGTCCACATATGTGGAATCTGCCTATTCTCTTTTCTTCTGAAATAGTTTAAAAGACTCAAAGAGAATGGCCTGGGCTTTGCATATCCTTAGTCTGATAGACATTTCTCTAGCTGCTAACTTAAATAGGTATTAGCAGCCTCTATCATCAGCCAGAAATTAACAAAGTCACAAAAATTAGCAAAATCTCTGTTTTGCTGTGGCCTTATGCTGACGGTCTTATCTTAAAGACAAAAAATTTTCATTGTATAGATTAAAATTAACTTTGGCAAAAATTGAAATGCAGTCAGGGATTTTTTTTTGTTCAACAACAGAAACTAGCAAAAGCAAACATACAGTAAAAATAGAAAATTTCCAGTGTACAGATGTAAACATCATAATTGACACAGCCAGGGATGATTAATGGATAATAAAATGTTGAGGGATGATCATTTGAATACAGGATATTAATACTTTTAAAAACCATTTTTCCAATTACTTCAGTATAAATAATGTATCTCTGAAAGGTACAGGTCTGGCATCACAATCATGGTGATAGACAAATGGTGGAACAGTCCTGGTATCACGATCATGGTGATAGACAGATGGTGGAACAGTCCTGGTATCACGATCATGGTGATAGGCAAATGGTGGAACAGTCCCGGTATCACGATCATGGTGATAGACAAATGGTGCAACAGTCCTGTTATCATGATCATGGTGGTAGACACATGGGACCGTCTCTACCTGCAGATGGGTGAGGTAGCATTGACCCTGCAGTGTTCCCGGAAAAACGCTTAGGCTGAATTTAATCATGAGGACATTTTCAGACAACTTCATTGAGCCAGACAGCTGACCTGTCCTCTGCAAACAAGCCCATGTCACCACCACCACCAACAACAAAAAGATGAGGAGACACTTTGGATTCAAAAGAACTAAAGAAATGTGGCTACATTATCTTTTTACTCTTTTTCAACCCAAAATGTCTCTTCTCCTTTTAGTTGTGTGATTTGTGGTGACATGGGCTGTCTGAAGGAGACAGGTCAGTAGTGCTGCTCACTGTTCTACATTCTGAAGTTGTCTGGAGATTACCTTGGGCTATGAAAGTCAGGCTAAGCGTTTTCAGCAAGAACATGGTGTTGTTCATACTCTGTACTGGCAGAGTCCCATGTGACATGTTGTCTTAGTGTGGGAATATGACCCCTATCCGGGAGACCAGGTGGAGTCTTATCACTGTCATAGTAAGAAACCTACTATCCATGTCCAAAGTCAAGCGAACATGCTCTCCTACAAATAAAAAAAATGGCATATGTGTAAGCCTGGCATGTGTAATAAAACTCAAGATATGCTGTATATGTTGAACACAATATATCCAGTGAGTACCAGAAGACTTCAGGCTCTTCAGCTTCCACCAGCTCCATCCTGAGCCTAAAAAAGGAGGAATAACCAAAGAATAAGTCAGGGAAAATAAGACACCACAGAGCCCCAACTAGATTTCATGGGTAGCACAAGAAAGTGGTTAATAAAGAAAAAACATAGATCCATTAATAACGCAACAAATTATTGCCTTATGCTGGGATGGACAAGAGTAGGGTAAAAAGAATGAAAGAGAAAGAGAAAGTAAGCTCAGTGAACCGTCCAGGTGACACACTGATGAGGGAGTAAAAGGACACTCTTGAGTTAGTGCCCTCAGGACACACAGTGTACACTGATCATAAAAACAAGTATGGTCAACCTACAGTAGTTAGTAAATAGTAAGGGGAGGAAGAAATGGAAACCTAATAACTACTGCAATGAAAACCAACAGCAGTTTTAGTAGGAATAATTCAGGCTTCATTGAAAAGATGGTATCAATATTATCAGCCCACTCTGTTTTCCCTGGACCTGGCATCTCCAGGTGTCAACACAACATTAGCTGTTCACAATTGCCCAAAGTTACCTGGGGCACAGTGAGCCTCGGTCTTCTTCCTCTTGGTCCTTTTTAATCTCTGCAATAAATTCAGATAGGGACAGACAAAATAAGCCATTACCCTACACCCGTAACAGTCTACTGTCTAATCCCTGCACAGGGAGCTCAGGCTCCTCAGCATGAGAACAGGATAATGTGAGAGACAGACTTCAGGAGGTCCCAAAGCCAATCATGATAGAGATTCCTTGGTTTGTGTCTCAGAACCAATGGTGAAACGTCCCTATTCTGGCAGACCATTATCCCTTTATCGCAAGTTTGTACATACAGGAAAGAACCTCACAGACATGCATGGGGAACAAAACTCATGAGGAACATTGTAGCTGGCAAGAGACATTTAATTCAGATTGACAGACAACTCGTGGGCATGCGCTGCACAGTTTGGTGTGAGTTGGCAACACCTGCCTTGGGTTTCAATGTCCTGACAGTCGGTCCAGGGTGCGACGGGCATGGACTGAGACTAGAGAGAGAGCAAAGCTCACTGACCCACCGCATGCCCATGCTTCAGACTGGAATCCAGAGTGATTGAAATCTACACTAATGGATAGGTTCAGCCCACAGTGATGACATGACAACTCTCAGCCCGGCCAGCAGAGCAAGGCCCAAAGACTATGGGGTCTATCTGGGACACAATTTGGAGCTTTATCAACTTCACAGTGGAGTACTCACTGCCTATGTCGACAGCCACGTTGACTTGCTGCTCCTCTGAGTGCAAGTTGCTCCTGTAAGACTCATTGAAGGCAGATGTGCCAGGAGGAATTGAGAGAGTCGAATAACCTTCATCCCAGGACTCCTGGGGGGCTTCCTCCTCCACAGACTCCTGCAGATTCCTGATGAGCCAGGCAGGCAGGGATGACAGAAGATGAAACCAACAGAGATTAGACAACAAAGTCTCCCAGCTGATCTGATGGAAGTCAGAATGGAATGGTCACAGAAAGCAAAGGCATTTTTCCTTTAAGAAAAATAAAAAAACTATCCTTTCTAAATGCAGGATGGAGGGTGACTACCCTGGGGACAGAGGACAAATGAGCAGCATGTGCTCAGTGCATTTGCCATAGATGAGCCACTGCAGGCCACTGACTCTCCCTGTAAACTATCATCATGACTTGCAGCACGAGAACCAACACGGGGCTTCAACTGCCTCGCGTAAGTTGTGTTGAATTTTACATGCAGCATTCAAGTGAACAGAGCTCCTGAGGCATTTCAGACACCCAGATCTTGTGTATTAAGGGCCTCCCTTTTCCAGTATTTTGATATCATATGTCTAAGTTTTGAATTCCTTCTCTTTACAAATCCTAGCAAACATGCTCACAACAAATGGGCAGAAAGCACATATGCGTCTCTCCCTGGGTTTAAACACAGTGGGGAGAACAGGCGAAACCAGGAAATCCCTGTTTGCTGAGTTCACCTGGCTCATCTGATTGCATGTTCCCATCTTGGGAGGAGTGAGAAATTAAAGCCTATACAAGTGCCACCAATCACCCACAACATTGTTAATAAGGACAATTTGTAGCTGGGTGAATGGAATAAAGAGTTCTAGTCATCACTTCCTCGTTTTCCCAGGATCTAGAGTCTCCAGGTGTCACTATTGAACTAACAGCCCACAACTCCACAGCATTACCTGGGGGGCACTGGCCCTCTTTCTTCCTCTTCCTCATCATCACTTTGTCTGTCTGTAAATAAATTCAGAGACACAGGTCACATTAAGCAAATCACACTTCACATATGACCAAATCAGTGTTTAGTCATAGCACAAGCACAGAAATATTCTCATGGCAAGAATACAAATTCTGACAGGACCATTCCAGGGTGCCCTAGATGAAGCCTGGTGACTAGGTAAGCCTGCTTTCCAGACACACAGGCCTAAATCTCCCTCTATGGGTAGATCATCATACCATATTCTCTGAGTCCATGCAAAGTTAAACCAAATTTTTTCCCAGAAAATCTCCAAAAATGAGTCAAACTCTTTTCTGGGAGTGTTGCTGCAATACTGACTTATCTCACCAGGTACCAAGGTCATTGAATGGTTAGAGGCATCTATACGTGAAACTGGACTGACATATAAATTCTAACAACACTTGCTTTAAAAAGAATCTGTGAGCTTTGCTCAGTGCCACTTTCATAGCCAATGAGTTTTATCTGAGATGAGATTATTGCTAATTGAAAACTTTTCCCAATACCCCGCCGTGATGACATGCAATAGAGTCGGCCTTGACAATTTTTGACAGTCTCTAGGGAGAGTGAATAAAAAAAGACAAAACAAAAAAGAATCTGTGGGCCGGGCATGGTGGCTCACGCCTGTCATCTCAGCACTCTCAAAGACCGAGGTGAGCACTTCACGAGGTCAGGAGATCAGGACCATCCTGGCTAACACAGTGAAAGCCTGTCTCTACTAAAAATACAAAGAAATTAGCTGGGCATGGTGGCACATGCCTGCAGTTTCACCTACTCGGGAGGCTGAGGCAGCAGAATCACCTAAACCCAGGAAGCGGAGGTTGCAGTGAGCTGAGATCGTGCAACTGAACTCCAGCCTGAATAACAGAGGGAGACTCCATCTCCAAAAAANAAAATCTGTGATTTCAAAGGTGGGTCAACCACTTAAAGTTTGGAGTTCAAGACCAGCCTGGCAAACATGGTGAAACCCCATCTGTACTAAAAATACAAAAATTAGCGAGGTGTGGTGGGGGGCACCTATGGTCCCAGCTACTCAGGAGGCAGAGGCAGGAGAATCACTGGAGTCTGGGAAGTGGAGACTGCAGTAAGCCAAGATGGTGCCACTGCACTCCAGCCTGGGTGATAAAAGGAGACTCCATCTCAAAAACAACAAGAAACAATACATGATGCTACGAAGAAACATCAGATCGGCCATTGCATGGATGGGGTGGAGAGCCAGGGCTGAGCCTTGCTTTATGGAAACATATCAGCAAGGTAAAGAGGAAATGTTTTCATCCTGGTTTCAAGGTGACTATGCAGCTAAGCAAGCTGACTCAAAAGAGATGAAGACTGACGCTCAGAGCAGTGAAACCTGAGGAACATTCTCTCCAAATAAATAGGCAAGGCTCCCAGGTTCCTTGAAAATAAATAGAAATTCCAGGGACATTGTTCAGGGAAGATGACCTAATGACATGAGAGATACTGAATCAAAGCTAGGAGACCTGACAGACACCTCCTGTACACCTCCTGCACACAGGTGACCATGAGCTTGTCACACTGGTCTGGGGTCTGGTAACTTGATTCTTGGGCCTCAGAGACAAATGCATGGCATGAGCTGAGAATGAGATAAAAATTCCCTGGTATCTGTGTTTAGCATCCCATGATAAGTTTTTATTCAAACCGATTTGTGTGTATAGAGCCTGTCTTCAAAGTTATCTTCCTCAGCCTAGACAGAGGTACCAAGAACAAGGAATGTAGAGGTCACCTGAAAGAATGATTAGAGCATCCTCCACCACATCATGAGATGATTCATTCTCTACAACCAGCGCAGAGTTGACATTCTCTTCCTCAAATGTGATTTCATTGGTGTCTCTGTGAGGCTGGCTGGAGTCAGTAGGGCCATAGCTATTTGAAAGAGTGATGACACATTTCTCCAGTGAGTCCTCAGGGACTTTCTTGACTTCAATCTTCTGCACCTCCCTGATGAGCCAGATGGGATAGAGATGACAAAAGATTAAACAAAGAGGGATTGGACCCCAGGGAGTCCTCGCTGGTTTTCACAGGAGGAATGAGAGAGTGGTCCCAGAAAGCAAATGGGAGGTTCCCTTTGAGAGGAAACAGGCAATCCTCCTCTCTGCAACAGAGCATGGCTGCCATGAGAACCGGAGAGAAAGACAGCAGCTGGTATTCATCACACTGGGCAGAAAGGAGCCGAGAAGATAAGAGACTCAGTTATCCCTGTAAAATTCAGACACGGCACGCAGCACATACAAAGAACCACAACAACTGCCACACCCTGTATCTAAGGTGGGTTGAACTGAACATATTGTGGCCAAGGGAATGCAGGCTTTGGGCCCATGGGAGACGACAGAGAGGGTGTGCTTCTAGACATTTTCCATACTTTATCACCCATTACTTACTCCTGATTATTCAGTGTTACCTGGGGGCACGTGATTCCTGTATTTTCTCAGCCTTCACAACATGAACATCTTCATCTTCATCTTTGTTGTTTTCTGCAAGTACAGATGTGTTCGTTCAGATATTTCCCATTTCACACTCTGCAAGGACAGTCAGCCCAATGTGCGCAGGGACATGAACATCTGTGAATGGGTCCCCATTCTACTGAAAGCGCTCATGTTTTCTCTTTAACAAAATGCCCCGGCATGGTTTCCTGATCCACCAGGCAGTGCATTTCTGATCAGGATGCTCACCATCAAGATGAAGCCAAATGTTGAAAACACTTCTGCTCTCCACATCACTGGAGGCTTGTGCAGTCTCTCTCTAGACTTTGGCAGCTGTCTCTGCCATCCTGACACAGATCTGATTCCCAGGGACAGGCTTGGGATCCTGTCACAGTTCACATTTACAACCTATTTCTGTTAGGAGAGGAAAACAAACTTGTCCCACAATCCTCTGCACATCAGGTGACTTCACAGGCCCTCCCAGTGGCTTCTGCTATGTTATTCAGGGACATTCTCTCCACGGGGAGTGCTCCAGTCTGAACCACTTCCAACCACCAAATGCCCACACATCAAGTGCTTTCTCCAACACCACACAGCGAGGGGGCTCTATCTCATTGTGATAAGCGGTCATAAGTGTTTGCACATTTGAATGCTTCAGACACTGCAAGATGTCTGCCTTTGCAAATGGAGAGAGAGAAATTTACCTGCCTTTGCAGATGAAGACAGAGAAAGTCAGCAAGGAGAAATCAATTGCTCACTGACAGTTCCTAGGAACACTGCTGAAGATACAGCCTGGGAACCTTCATTCTTATTCCAGATCTCTTTCCACTCCAACAACCGCCCTCCTGTCATAGCTTCCTTCATGTCCTTTACAACTGGAGAGATGCTGCCTCTTGCTCCAAAGACCACCATCCATCATGGAAGGAGGGACATTTACAATACTGTGACCTCCAACCCCATGGGTTTCCCATCTTTCTCATTCAGAAAGTCCTAGTGACGTCATGGCCACATATGTTTAGTGGAAGAAAATGCCACTGATAAAACTGTCATCAAGGAAGTATGGAGGTCTGGAGTCTCTCATAAGGCCATAAAGGAAATATGCACAGACTAATAAAGTTTCTCTTATGCTAGACACAGTAGAATGAAGAACTAACAGACAGTGTTTACTCTGTGCCAACAACTGTCTCCAAGAAGCCACTTGGATGGAGCTCAGGAGACTGGCCCAGGATCCCTCCTCTACGCACTGCTGCCTCCACAAAGTAGTGCGTGCCGTCGTTCTTCCTCTTAACCAACAAGAGCCTCTGCACAGAAAGCAGGACATCCTTCTGACCAGAGTAATCACTGCTCCTGATGAGGCCACTTACAGATACCACAGGTTATGTAAGGAGCAGAGTCCTCTTTCAGCTCCCAATAGTGGGTATAGTGTGCTACCATCGCATTTCCCCCAGAACAGAGCTTTTCCTACTGAGCCTCAGCAGAAACCAGAACCGAATGGAAGTGTCTGTCTAGCCGCAGACACTTAGAACAACAGAATAGATGCGACTTTTCTGCAGGATCCTAGGTGGTACAGAGAGGATTCCTGTAAACATGATTTAGTTTCTTGCTGAGAAACACAGACGCTTCTGCAGAAACACCTGAGACTTTACCCTCAGTCCCACACCTTACTGCAGATGTGGAAAAGTTGCTACATACTTTGGCCTCTCTCATCCACCTTTAACAAAATGTTAAAATACCCATTTATATTTTCCTAGACGTATGGCAAAAGTGAGATTAATTCTGATGAAGAGAGTCTTTAGTTTCTCAGAGGAAACACAGAACATCGTTCAGCACTCTGGTGACGGTGAACCTATGGAACTTACTTTCTGTCTGCAGCCTGCAGCCGGGGTAGTGGGCCACTTGACTGGTAAGAAGTTTATTTTTGCTGTCTTTGTATCTCTGTTCCTCCTCATGACGTTTCAGATCTTCTGTAAGCAAATTCAGAAGAGCAGGTCAGATTAAGCAAATCGCACTTCACACAAGACCAAATCAGTGTCTCGTCATATCACAAAAATGAAAAATATTCTGTTTAAGAATGTGATATTCTGATGGGAGTGTTCTTCTGGTCCCTAGATTAAGTCATCCTAGTAGATGAGCCTACTTTTCAAATCCATGAAAGGAAATCTCCCTCATCTGCTAGATCTTAATCATGTATCATCTGAGCTAAGTCAGCACAAGCAATGAAAACTTTTTCCCCAAAATCTTCAAAAATTGCCCTAACTACTTTACAGAAGCATTTCAGTAATACTGATTTATTTCATCATATATGATGGTCAACAAAGGGTTAGAGAAATTTATAGAGGAGACTGGACCGACAGATGAATTCTAACAACGTTTACATAAAAAAGAATCTGTGGAGGCAGCACAGTGACTCACTCCTGGAATTGGAGCAATTTAGGAGGCCCAGGGAGGGAGATCACTTGACCTCAGGAGTTCAAGACCAGCCTGGCCAACATGGTGAAATCCCACCTCTACTAAAAATACAAAAACTAGCCAAGCGTGATGGTGTCCACCGGTGATCCCAGCCAACTAACAGGCTGAGTCACGAATACAGGGGTACTCCCTGCTCTTGATGCTGCCACTTACAGATACCACAGGATGTGGAAGGAGCAGAGTGATGTGTAAACTCCCCACAGCGGGTACTGTGTGCTATCACCGTGTTTACTCCCATGTCCCCAGAACACTGCTTTGCATACTGGGCCTCAGCAGAAACTGGAACCAAATGGAAGTTCAGTAGCCTCAGACATTTAGACCAACAGACTAGATGCTGCTTGTCTGCAGGATCTTAGGTGGTACAGAGAGGACTCCTGTAAACATGATTTAGCCTGTTGCTGAGAAACACAGGTGCTTCTGCGCCTGTGTCAGAAATCAACACCTGAGACTTTACCCTCAGTCCCACACCCGCCTTACTGTAGATGTGGAAAAGTTTCTACATACTTTTGCCTCTCTCGTCCACCTTTAACAAAATATTAAAATACCCATTTATATTTTCCTAGATGTATGGCAAAAATGAAATTAACTCTGATGAAGAGAACCTTTAGTTTCTCAGAGGAAACACAGAACTTCGTTCAGGACTTTCATGATGGTGAACCTATGGAACTTACTTTCCATCTTCAGCCTGCAGCCCAGGTAGTGGGCCACTTGACTCGTAAGAAGTTTATTTTTGCTGTCTCTCTGTTTCTGTTCCTCCTCATGACATTTCTGATCTTCTGTAAACAAATTCAGAAGAAAAGGTCACATTAAGCAAATCACACTTCACACAAGACCAAATCAGTGTCTAGTCATATCACAAAAATGAAAAATATTCTCAGTTTAAGAATGTGATATTCTGATGGGAACGTTCTACTGGTCCCTAGATTAAGTCATGCTAGAAGTAGATGAGCCTGCTTTTCAGATCCATGGGACAAAACCTCCCTCATCTGCTAGATCTTAATCATGTATTCTCTGACCTAAATCAGCACAAGCAATTAAAACCTCTTCCCAAAAATCTTCACACATTGCCCTAACTACTTTCCAGAAGCATTGCAGCTATACTGATTTATCTCATCATATATGATGGTGAACGAATAGCTAGAGAAATTTACATAGGAGACTGGACTGATGGATGAATTCTAACAACCTTTACATAAGAATCTGTGGAGTCAGCAGAATGACTCACATCTGGAATCGGAGAATTTAGAAGGCCCAGGGAGGGAGATCACTTGACCTCAGGAGTTGAAGACCAGCCTCGCCAACATGGTGAAACCCCGCCTCCACTAAAAATACAGAAACTAGCCAAGTGTGGTGGTATCCACCAGGGATCCCAGCTAACTGGGAGGCTGAGTCACCAATACAATGGTACTCCATGCTCTTGATGGTGTCACTTACCGATACCACAGGTTCTATTAGGAGCAGGGTCCCCTTCAAGCTCTTCACAGTGGGTACTGTGTGCCATCACCATGTTTACCCCAGTGTCCCCAGAACACTGCTTTGCCTACTGGGCCTCAGCAGAAATGGGAACCGAATGGAAGTTCAGTAGCCTCAGACATTTAGATCAACAGACTAGATGCTACTTGTATGTAGGATCTTAGGTGGTACAGAGATTCCTGTAAACATGATTTAGCCTCTTGCTGAGAAACACAGGTGCTTCTGTGCCTATGTCAGAAATCAACAGCCTCTTGCTGAGAAACACACATGGTTGTGCACCTGTGTTAGAAATGAACAGCTGAGACTTCACCCTTAGTCCTACACCTGCCTTACTGCAGACATGGAAAAGGTGCTACATACTGTGGCCTCTCTCATCCATTTTTAACAAAATGTTAAGGAAGCAATTTATATTTGCCTAGAAGTATGGGAAAAACTTAATAAATTCTGATGAAGAGAGTGTTCAGTTTCTCAGAGCAAAGACAGAATACCGTTCAGCACTTTCGTAACGGTGAATCTATAGAACTTACCTTCTGTCTTCAGCTGGCAGCCTGGGTAGTAGGCCGCTTGACTCATAAGAAGTTTATTTTTGCTGCCTCTGTATTTCAGTTCCTCTTCATGATCTTTTCGATCTTCTGTAAATAAATTCAGAAGAGCAGGTCACATTGAGCAAATCACACTTCACACAGACCAAATCAGTGTCCAGTCATAGCACAAGGACATAAAATTTTCTCAGTGTAAGAATGTGATATTCTGGCTGGAATGTTCTATCGGGCCCTAGATTAAGTCACCTCAGAAGTAGATGAGCCTGCTTTTCAGGCCCATGGGATAAAATCTCTCTCATCTTGTAGATATTAATCATCTGTCCTGTGACCTAAGTCAGTGAAAACAATTAAAACATTTTCCCCAAAAATAATCAAAAATTGCCTTAACTACTTTCTAGAAGGGTTGCTGCAGTACTAATTATCTCATCATATATCATGGTCAATGAATGTTTAGAGAAATTTATATAGGATACTGGACCGACGGATGCATTCTAACAACCTTTACTTTAAGAAGAATCTGTGGAGCCAGCATGGTGGCTCACACCTGGAATCCAAGCAACACAGGAGGCCCAGGCACGCAGATCACCTGACCTCAGGAGTTCAAGACCAGCCTGGCGAACATGGCGAAACCTTGCCTCTACATAAAGTACAAAACTTAGCCAGGTGTAGTGGTGCCCACCGGGGATCCCAGATAATTGGCAGGCTGAGGCACCAGTACCAGGGTACTCCCAGCTCTTGATGGTGCCAATTACAGATACCACAGGTTCTATTAGGAGCAGGGTCCCCTTTAAATTCCTCACATGGGGTAATGTCTGCTATCACCATGTTTCCCCCAGGGTCCCCAGAACACAGCTTTGCCTACTGGGTCTTTACCAGAAAGCAGAACTGCATGGAAGTTCAGTAGCCTCAGACCTTTAGACCAGCAGACTAGATGCTGCTTGTCTGTAGGACCTTATATGGTAGAGAGAGGATTCCTGTAAACATGGATTCAGCCTCTTGCCGAGAAAAACAGGTGGTTCTGTGCCTGAGTCAGGAATCAATAGCTGGGATTGTAACCCCAGCCCCACACCCATCTTACTGCAGATGTGGAAATGTTGCTAAATATTTTGGCATCTGTCTTCCATTTTAACTAAATGTTAAAATACCCACTGCTATTTTCTACAAGTATGGGAAGGATGAAATTAATTTTGATGAAGAGAGCAGTTAGTTTCTCCAGACAAGACAGGACATCATTCATCACTTTCGTGGTGGTCAACCTATAGGACTTACTGTATGTCTTCAGCCGATAGTTCAGGGAGTAGTCCACCGGACTCATAAGAAGTCTATTTTTGCTGACTCCAATATTCGGTTTGTTATCTTCCTGTTCGAAGAAGGATTTCTCAATGCCTTCTGGAACGTTCAACTCTGTGTTTTTTCTGGAAGGAGGCCTGTCAGATGCCACCTTGCTGATGTTTGGGGCAGAACACAGAAGGCCAGGGACTGGAGAGAAGAAACCCAAACACACAATGGATTAGAAACTGGTGACATCAAATTGGTTCAATCGGGACTGAAGGATGTCACTGACAGCCTTGCCTATTGATTTGAAGATGTTGTTTCCCCACTTTTACTCTTCTCATCTCCACTCCTAGTCTCCTTAAAGTCAACTCGTCTTAGCTACTCAGTCACCTTGAAGCCAGGACATAAACCGTCCTATCATTATCTTGTTTATGAGTTCTGCAGGATCTTATATGGTACAGTGAATATTCCTGTAAACATGAATTAGCCTTTTGCTGAGAAGAACAGGTGGTTCTGTGCCTGTGTCAGGAATCAATAGCTGGTATTTTAACCTTAGTCCCACACCCGCCTTACTGTAGACCTGGAAAAGTTGCTAAACACATTAGCCTCTGTCTTCCTTCTTTAACTAAATGTTAAAATACCCACTGTTATTTTCCTAGAATTATGGGAAGAATGAAATTAAGTTTGAAGAAGAGAATGTATCATTTCTCAGAAAGAAGACAGGACATCGTTCAGCACTTTCGTGACAGTGAACCTATAGAACTTACCTTCCGTCTTCAGCCGGCAGCCCAGATAGTAGGCCACTTGACTCATAAGTTTATTTTTGCTGTCTCTGCATTTCTGTTCTTCATTGTGATCTTTTCGATCATCTGTAAACAAATTCAGAAGATCAGGTCACATTAAGCAAATCACACTTCACACAAGACAAAATCAGTGTGCAGTCATAGCACAAGGACGTAAAATATTCTCAGTGTAAGGATGTGATATTCTGATGGAAATGTTCTAACAGGCCCTAGATTAAGTCGTCTCAGAAGTAGATGAGCCTACTTTTCAGATCCATGGATGAAAATCTCCATCGTCTGGTAGATCTTCATCATATATCCTCTGACCTAGTCAGGGCAAATAATTAAAACTTTTTCCCAAAAATCTTCAAAAATTGCCCTAACTACTTACCAGAACAATTGCTGCAATACCAATTCATCTCATCATATATCATGGTCAATGAATGGTTAGAGAAATTTACATAGGAGACTGGACCAAGGGATGAATTCTAATAACCTTTACTGCAAAAAGAATCTGTGGAGCCAGCCCGGTGTCTCATGCCTGAAATTCCAGCATTTTAGGAGGCCCAGAAGGGCAGATCACTTGACCTCAAGAGTTCAAGACCAGCCTGTCCAACATGGTGAAACCCTGCGTTTACTAAAAATACAAAGATTAGCCAGGGGCTTTGGTGCCCACCAGGGATCCCAGCTAAAGGGGGAGCTGAGGCACCAGTAGCAAGGTACTCCTTGCTCTTGATGGTGCCATTTACAGATACCACAGGTTCTATTAGGAGCAGGGTCCTCCTTGAGATCCTCAGAGGAGGTACTGTGTGCTATCACTGTGTTTCCCCCGGTGTCTGCAGAACACTGCATTGCCTACAGCAGAAACCGGAACCAAATGGAAGTTCAGTAGCCTCAGACATTTAGACCAACAGACTGGATGCTACTTGTCTGTAGGATCTTATACGGTACAGAGAGGATTCCTGTAAACATGATTTAGCCTTTTGCTGAGAAAAACAGGTAGTTCTCTGCCTGTGTCAGAAATCAATAGCAGGGATTGTAACCCCAGTCCCACACCCATGTTACTAAAGACATGGAAAAGTTGCTAGATACTTTTGCCTTTGTCTTCCATTTTTAACAAAATGTTAAAATAACCATTTCTATTTTCTACAAGTATGGGAAGGATGAAATTAATTTTGATGAAGAAAGAGGTTAGTTTCTCAAAACAAGACAGGACATTATTCATCAATTTCATGGTGGTCAACCTATAGAACTTACTGTATGTCTTCAGCTGGTAGTTCAGGAAGTAGGCCACCTGACTCATAAGAAGTCTATTTTTGCTGGCTCCGAAAGTCGGTTTGTTTTCTTCCTGTTGGCAGCAGGATTTCTCAATGCCTTCTGGAACGTTCACCTCTGTGTTTGTTCTGGAAGGAGGCCTGTCAGATGCCACCATGCTGACATTTGGGGCAGAACACAAAAAGCCAGGGACTGGGGAGAAGAAACCCAAACATATGATGGATTAGAAACTGGTGACGTCAAATTGGCTTAATCGGGACTGAGGGATGTCACTGACAGCCTTGCTCATTGATTTGAAGGTGTCATTTCCCCGCTTTTACTCTTCTCATCTACAATCTCGATCTCCTTAAAGTCAACTTGTCTTACCTACGCAGTCACCTTGAAACTCGGAAATAAACACTTCTACCTTTATCTTGCTTATACGTTTTGCAGGATCTTATATGGTACAGAGAAGATTCCTGTAAACATGATTTGGCCTTTTGCTGAGAAGAACAGGTGGTTCTGTGCCTGTGTCAGGAATCAATAGCAGGGATATTAACACTAGTCCCACACACACCTTACTGCAGACGTGCAAAAGTTGCTAAACACATTAGCCTCTGTCTTCCATCTTTAACAAAATGCTAAAATACCCATTGCTATATTCCTAGAAGTATGAGAAGGATGAAATTAAGTTTGAAGAAGAGAGTGTATCATTTCTCAGAAAGAAGACAGGACATTGTTCAGCACTTTCGTGACAGTGAACCTATAGAACTTACCTTCCGTCTTCAGCCGGCAGCCCAGGTAGTAGGCCACTTGACTCATAAGAAGTTTATTTTTGTTGTCTCTTCATTTCTGTTCTTCATTATGATCTTTTCGATCTTCTATAAACAAATTCAGAAGAGCAGGTCACATTAAGGAAATCACACTTCACACAAGACCAAATCAGTGTTTGATCATAGCACAAGGACATAAAATATTCTCAGTGTAAGAATGTGGTATTCTGACAGGAACGCTCTAATGGTCCCTAGATTAAGTCACCCTAGAAGTATATGAGCCTGCTTTTCAGAACCATGGGACAAAATCTCCCTCATACGGTAGATCTTAATTATATCCTCTGACCTAAGTCAGTGCAAAAAATTAAAACTTTTTCCCAAAATCCTCAAAAATTGCCCTGCTTTCCAGAAGGGTTGCTGCAATACTGATTTACCTAATCATACATCATTGCCAATCAATTGTTAGAGAAATTTATATAGGAGTCTGGACCAAGGGATGAATTTTAACAACCTTTACTGAAAAAAGAATCTGTGGAGCAGGCATGGTAGCTCGCGCCTGGAATCCCAGCACTTTAGGAGGCTCAAGCAGGCAGATCACTTGACCTCAGGAGTTCAAGACCAGTCTGGCCAACATGGTGAAACCCCGCCTCTACTAAATATACAAAAATTAGCCAGATGTGGTGGTGCCCACAGGGGATGCCAGCTAATTGGGGAGTTGAGGCACCAGTACCAGGGTACTCCCTGCTCTTGATGGTGCCACTTATGGATACCACAGGTTCTATTAGGAACAGGGTCCCCTTCCAGTGCCTCACAGTGGGTACTGTGTGCTATCACTGTGTTTCCCCCAGTGTCCCCAGAACACAGCTTTGCCTACTGGGCCTTAGCGGAAACCAGGACCGAATGGAAGTTCAGTAGCGTCAGACATTTAGACCAGCAGTCTAGATGCTACTTGTCTGCAGGATCTTAGGTGGTACAGAGAGGATTCCTGTAAACATGATTTAGCCTTTGGCTGAGAAAAACAGGTGGTTCTGTGCCTGTGTCAGAAATCAATAGCTGGGGTTGTAACCCCAGTCCTATACCCACCTTACTGAAGATGTGGAAAAGTTGCTAAATATTTTTGCCACTGTCTTCCATCTTTAACTAAGTGTTAAAATACCCATTGCTATTTTCTACAAGTATGGGAAGGATGAAACTAATTTTGATGAAGAGAATGGTTAGTTTCTCGAGACAAGACAGGACATCATTCATCACTTTCATGGTGGTCAACCTATAGAACTTACTGTATGTCTTCAGCTGGTAGTTCAGGAAGTAGGCCACCTGGCTCATAAGAAGTCTATTTTTGCTGACTCTGATATTCTGCTTGGTCTCTTCCTGCTGGGAGTAGGAATTCTCGATGGTATTTGGAAAGTTCGTCTCTGTCGTCTTCCCGGAACATGTCCTGCAGGATGCCACCATACTGACATTTGGGGCACCACAGGGAGAGCCAGGGACTGGGGAGAAGAAACCCAAACACATGATGGATTAAAAACTGGAAATCAAATGGTTTTAATCAGGACCGGGGGATATCAGTAACTCAAATTCTTAACTTACTGTTGAGAAAAACCTGATCCCTCCTCACAGTACTTTAGGGTCCTTAACCACAAAAACAAGGTTCGCAATGCTTGAGCTGAGAACTGAAGGCGCTGTCTGCAGCTCAGACTCTGACAAGAGTGTGGGAGAGAGTGGCCAGTGCCCCAGGTAACGGTCTGCTGTTGCAACAACAGAATTAGAAGCTGGGCGTGTCATGGAATCTTAGGAGCCCTTCATTCCATTGCCCAGGGTTTGCTAAAACACAGGCCTCCTGGTCTCACCTGAGGTCACAACAGATGGGAACCATTACTCTATAAGTCACTCTCAGTATTTGTGTACTGTTGTGACAATGCCACAGTCCCATCTCATTCCCAATACATCTAAGCATGTGCCTCATTTTTCATCTCTTATGTGTATAAAACCATCAAGGCAGAAACAGTTTCCCAACACGTGATACTTTCTTAATGCTAGTCATGAAGTCAGTCACCTCTCCTTCTCATATGTTAAACAGAATTGAAGGCTTTTCCACAAGTTTAAGTTATCAATCTATTACACTGCCATCATATCCTCTGAGTCTTCTGCAGTTTTTTCTGTATCCACTAGAAAGTCAATGAGTAATTCATTTCTTCAAAATGTTTTCTTTCCTGGCTCAATATTCTTCTTGCTGCATCCCATGGTTATGCTATTTAGTTTTTCTTACTGGCAGGTGCCACTACACTGATGTTTGTGGCAGAAAAGGCTTTTCATTACACTTAAGACCTGTGTGACGTCCCTATGTCCAAAGCTTCCTCTATGTGGGATGATTTGTTTTTTAATGTGACTGAACACTACATCTCATACTTCTCACTTATGGATATCATTCTAGTCCCAGAAGAGCTCTTTTCAAGGTGTCATGTCATTGAAATCATTTCTATAGAGATCTCTTGAAAGCATATGTGACGATCTATCTTGGGAAATCTTGGAAACCTCATATGATTTTGTTGTTTTCATTACATTTTTTCCAAGTGGTCCCCTTATGGAATACTGTTTGATAGATATTTTTCTGATTTCGTCTAACACCATTGATGCGTGGTTGCATCCCACTAACCAAACACAGCAAGATCAAGGTGATGGTCAGGGGTGGTTGGTGGTCCTCCGTGTTGCTGTGCAATAGAAGGTGAATTTGAGATGAGAGGAACGAGTAGGGAAGAGTGATCCCCTGAACCACGCCCTCACTTTCTCAGCCATCATCTCCACCTAGGTTTTGTGAGCCTGGGATTTGGGAGACTCTTCTGTATCCCAAGTCTCCTATGTTTGGCTGCTAGGCTTGCCTAAGTTGAGGGTGCAATGGGTGTGACCCTGGGCTACCCAGCATTCATGTGGCACTGAAGGAAGGAGAACTGGATCAATCCCACTGGAAAGTGTGCCTCTCTGCAGCCCCCACCATCCTCCAACTACACTGTAAGGATACTGCTTTGAGATATATCAAAGGCTTTAACTAAATATATGTTCTAGTATCTGGGAGGCCTGACCTGTGGCAGAATGAAAAGCTGTCAGGTTTTTTCATTTTTAAAATGATGAAGCTGCAGGTTCACAAAGTTATGTGGCTTACTTGAGGTCACACATAGATGAGTTTTGAGAACTGCTAGTAAAAGCAATTACAATAATTATTCCATAATTATTCATAGAATCCATGTCATTCAGTAAATATTCATATAATTATTCAGTTATTATTTGTTGACCAATTTGTACCAGGCATTTTGCTCAAAACTGTGCACACATTTGGACAGCATATCTTCATCATAATCTTCAAGGTAATGCTGTTATCCCAACAATCAGGTAAGAAACCTCAACAAGAGGGCTAGGAAATCATGAATTTGGCCATATTTCCATTGTTTG